TTTTTAAAAATTTCTTTAGAAACAAAAATGTTCATTTTAAATGATTTGTGGCAAAATTATAAAATTAAAAAGTATATTATAAATTTCTCTTCTCCTTAGATTACCCTAAAGCCCTTATACAATCTGACTGTCGAATAAATGTCTATGTTGACGAGAATGTGATAACAACACAAGTATATTGGCTTCGAAAATCATTTGGTCCAGTGTATTAACATCCTATTTAAATGAAACCCTGCAGTTCAAAGCAATGAGTAAGTATTAAAAGAATCAATCTATTGTAATTACTTTGTTAATGTTTTCTTGTAGAAAGTCTTTGTACAAGTGTTGCTTTTTTTTCCATTTCAATATCTTCTTAGTTATACAAAAAAAAAATTAACTTAACACCATGAACATATTTATAATTAATGGAAAGGGGACGGGGAGCAATTGTATTCAACAACTTCCTTATATATAATGTATATGCAGGAAACGAAGAATTTCAATGCAAAATTTCCAATGCTTTGAATTGGACAGATGCAATTAATTTCCTTCCACGTGTTTCATGTAAGTAGATGTTTCAAAGCATTATTATTATCATTTAATAAGATTATGTTATGTAAGCTTATTATTGATCCAAATAAATAAGAATGTTTTATTTTGTTGTACATATTTAAACAAAATAAACACATGACACATGAAACATTTTTCCATATCAGAAATCAGCCATTACTAAACTCACTTTGTGATAAAATTGGTGCACATTTAGATTGTATAACGCTAAGGAAAAAAACACATGTATATTTGTACATACTTGGAAACATATTTTTTAAAAAAAATAGTATTTTGATCAGAACATTCATAAGTAAAATATATACTTAATATAGCTTATCTTAGTTAGCTGTGATGAAGTTGTTTGGATGTATCATCAATGCACGTTTTTCACTCTAACATTTTTCTTTAAATAATTTTTCCAGGATGGATGTTTCGTTTGTGTGACATTTTTAGCACATATTTAATCGGTATTTAATGTCACATGATGAATTTTCAAACCAGCCGGTACTTCTGATTTTTAGTCGGCACTATAAAGTATGTCAATAAATTGTTTACGCTAACATCGTACACTGTTTGTAAGATAGATACCCAAGTATTTATTTATCTCTACTTTTTGACGATCGATCTGCAATCAGACGATTTCCTATTCTGAAAACGTGAACCATTTATTTTGTTTTTGAGACATACAAGGAAAGAAAAATGTTATTTCACCAACTGATGAAGCTTGTCACTAAGTTGCAGTTTAACCTTTCCCCTTTATATCTTAAGCCACTGGTGGTGGTATAACCATCAAATTTAATAATTTGAACAGTGTTGCTTGGACTCTTAATATATTTGGTAGATTATATTATATTATACAGGACATAATATACTTTCTCGAGTTAATGATATCTGCTTAGCAGCCTTGACATATTATGGCTGTTGTATACAAAAGTTCATTATCCATCCTTGAATATTTGATTTTAAACCTAACGAAGGAAACGTTTACATCACAAGCTGCGATGGAAATATGTTAAATGCTGATAAAAAATCTAAGGAGAGAACCCGAGCATATTAAGGTCTGGCTGGAAGTGGTCAAATCTTTTCAACACTAATGATTTGTCATCCTTGGTACTTCTACTTCAAGCAGATGAATGATTGATTGGGGTTAATTTGTCGCTGTTATTATTTAATATTTGGATTGTCTTTTTTGATGGAGGGAATACTTTTTTAAACACAGAAAGTAATTCTTAAAGTATCCCAATCTGCACTCTCCAAGTAACCCTTAAGTTCTTCTGTCACCTCGTCTGACAAAAATTAAATGGTTTTTGTTTGAATTTCTGATATTTTTTTAAAACTGGCTTTTATCAAGGTTTAACCCAAACAAGTGTGTATCCAGATTCTTTTAGTGTAAATAAACTGTAAGAAGTGTAGACTCTTTTAACATTACCATAACACATATCTAATGTTGAGTGTTTTCGGGTGGGCACGTAACATACTGAGTGTATGTCGGCATCGATTAATCCAGTAACAAATGAATGAGGTCATCCATAAGAAGACCGGCGGAGTCTGTGGGTTTTTTGTGTCTCAAAATTATGAATTATATTCAATAGTGTAACAGTGGCCTGCTCCCTGGTAGCATTAGGTGGATTTAAAAGAGGAAAATAAAGTTCTTGGTTAAATCTCTAGGTAGATTGTATGGCCTTAAAATGTGATGCATAGTAATTCATTGTCCATTGTACAAAACACGCTTTTCACTGAACTGTTGTTGATGTTAAATAATGTTTTGTTTAACTACATTGCCAATCAGCCGCCTTTTAATTTGCCATTGTCGTTTGTTAGATCGGCATGTTAAATTTATGTAGTGCCACTGCTTTTTCTGTTAGGCATATTAAATAGCTTTGAAAAAATAATATAACGCCCTGCAAACTGCGGGTGAAAGAAATCGTTGGTGTCCTCAAATTCTTTTCTGTTTACGCCTGTTTTAAGTAGGTCTTTTGTAATTTCTATTATAAAATATGTATAGGAATGTGTACATTACAATATATAATTATATCTGTATTATTTCAGATTTCCCAGACAATGTTAGTATCGCTTTAGTTAACAAAGATTTTGATATCTGCAACGACAGACACCTAATTATTTCGGGAACATGTTCCGTTAGTGAAAGTAATCCAGAGCCCACGGTTTATTTAAACATAAATAATTCATTGACAGAGATTAAATCAATGGAAAATAACAGAGAATACCTTTTTAATAAAAGTATCACATCGACTGGGATATTTAACGTTGCTTGCCTCGCAAACAGTACGGAATATTCGAGCGTTGCCTCAAACATTACACGATCTATAACAATCAAAGGTAAATAAAATAAATATTTATTTATTTATTTAGGCATTTTTATATGGCGCTTACCTTAAAGCTCTAAGCGCTTTACAATTATTAAAAACATGTAAACTAACTAAAATAAAAATGAGATATTAGGATAGTAACTACTATACTATAGAAACAATTAAAATGGCTATAAAACGAGGACACTTTGGCACGTTTTGGCCTATATTACAGGATTAACCCGAGACAAAAAATGTCACCTTAAAATGTATCTATATTCATTTACATTACCTCTTTTTTATGCATGTAAAAATAACATATTAAAAATGAGTTTGTTTTTTTAAATTACAGATTTGTACTAAAAATAATAATAATAAAAAGCTACGTTAGCAAATCAGTTATTCTCTCTTAACACAGGGCCCCCAGAGAGTCCAATTATTTTCTTAAATAAGAATGAAGAAACCACTCATGCTTCAAACGATTTTCTGGAATTAACACAAGTGGACACAATCACTTGCCAGGCGAATGGTGGTTATCCAAAAGCTAAAAATATATCTCTGACATGTGGACAAGAAAAAACAATTGCAACAGGTAAGGAAATATTAGTTTATATGGACTTTAAACATAAGTAAAGTATGTAGGTCAATGTAAATCCTTTTCGTTTAAGATAAGATAAGATATTTTTATTGATTCAAATAAATGGAAATTAGTTTTTTTTTAAATTCATCGTACATATTTCCCTCAGCCCTTGAAATGTTTGTTTGTGTTTTCCGTTGTTCCTGTAGCAAGACTATCGCCGTGTAAGTGTTCGCTGTGAATAACTCTTAAGTTCTTGGGTGAGAAGAGTCTTGGATTTTTTTAGAACGAGGTTTTCTTCTCCAAGATGATGGGAACTCCTTTTGCTTATATTCGATTTGTATTTAAGTAATTGGTTTGATCTTGCCATTTATTTACAAGATGGCATGGCAATAGTTTCCAATATCGCGGCTATTGATTTGGCTTGGTGTATGGCAACGACGTCTAAAATATCCATGTAATCTTCTTCTTCTATATCTTAAGGGCCCACGATCAATTTTTGATCATTTTGGCTCCTATGCATGTAGATAGGATTTGCAATGTTTCTGTGCCTGGTGTTGATGAGGAAATATCACTGATTTCCAGTGCAACTTTGTGAAGGAATCATTCACTAGGGGTTTGAAGGCTTGATGCAATGGACACAAATGTGTCTAGAGTTGTCGCCTCAATCCTTCCTTTTGAAAGCTTGTTCCAGTCCCTTGTTTTGGGCAGGAATGAGCAAATCCTATACTGGCTTCTTGCTGGTATGAGCCTGAATTGCCTGTCATGGCCTCGTCGCTGTTTATGGGGGAGAAGTTCGAGTTTCTGTTTAATCACTGTTCATCGCGGTAAAAAAAAACACAAGATAATTTGTGAAAGGGGATAAAACACATTCAACACACCTTGATTCCACAAGAAAAGTTGTAAAAAAACTTTAAACTATTACGAAAGCTGAAAAAAATGCACAGATGAAATCGAATCGCCTGCAGAGAGGCATTCCGGAAGTAATATAATATATTAATAAAAAAGGTACACGCCAATAAAATAGAATTATTTGGCACTAAAGATAATATATTTTTCTTTTCATTAGGAAGGTACTCATAAACTGTTGTTAATATATAAATATATTATGTATACATTTTTATAAGATACGATAAGATAAGATTATTTTAATGATCAAAAGAGATGGAAATGTTTTTGATTGCATGGTACATTTTCAGAACACAAATAAAACAATATGAACACAAGGCATCGACATTAAGTTATTTTACTAGTGGAAAAAAAAAACAGCCATTCAGTGAATTCTTTTAGCAGTGTCAGGGAATTATCAGTTGTCATTAAGATGTGTGACGTATGATATTTTTTTTTATAATACCGAAAAGATGGGACGTCGTGACATGGCATATATTTTTAATAAATTTGTTTCAAAATTTCAATACGTAGCACATTCCTGCATATGTATATTAAAATAGGTTCACCTAAATTTTAATTTCAGATTAAACATACACAATTAAAAAGTATCAGCTCTATTTCCTTCTCTTTAACAAGCGCCAAGTGAAATATCATTGATTTTACTTGTTATTATCAAATATTTAATGGCTAAATTCTTCATATACTGTCTTGAGCACTTTTTTGGTCAAATCAGTTTTTTCCATTTTGCTATTGCATCATTTGCACATAATATATGACTCCAAAGTGGGCCGCTGCTCATAAAGTCACTAATCTGTTTTGAAAAAATGTTCCTCTGTGCTCAGTATAAAACTGTTCTGTTTGAGCTGTTGATAATCTATGTTGTTTTGACATTAAAAGGTAAAATCCATTCTCCAACATCATCTGCCTCACATTATGTAATATATGAGGGTGAGCTACAACATCAGGCTTAAGGAGGGCTAGTGTGAGTTGTAAAGGTCTTGAGTTCATTCTCAGTATATGAAGAACCTCTAAGTGTGCGGGGAATCTATGGCCTGACAGACACAGATTCAGATGAAACAGCAAAAAGAGAAATCAAATTCTTCTTTCCAGACTTTGACATTGAGAAATGGTGGCCGAATGGTCTAAACTGAGCAAATCTCAAGTTGGTGGTCTGGAGTTCAATTCCAGCCAGAGCCCAGTCAAGCAATAACACCACCAGCACCCCGGGTAGATGGGACTCGTTAACCTTGGATGGCAACTCATCTAAGAGAAGGAAACTCTGAAATCAAACCCGGAGATGGAGTCCCGAAAGGCGGATAACATTGATACAGTGAAACATTCCGGCAACTCCTGCGACGTTACTGGTGCTAAGCTGTCTCATCTATTGATGTTCCCTTGGGTTACCCAGCGACGTGGAGAGAGGCGATTTGCTGTTGGGAACCAGCTTATAATCCTTCAAGTATAATCCCAGGCCATGTGGATTTCGTGCTCCGAAGCCCACTCCATCGTCACATTGTGACGGACGGATGCCAGCACCTAATAGCTAAATTGTTTTTACTCAAATATTATTGTAGATTTGTGATTAAATTTAGTTTAGCTATAAAATGTGTTTTGGCAATAATGAATATCTTCTTTAATGAATTTCGTGCTTCGTGCTTTAGGTTGAACATTCGATTTCGATCAGCAGAGACGCGACCAATTAATTGAGATATAGTTTTTTTACTGCATCAGTTCAGTGGGTTTGGCTCATCCTTAATACTTACATTATTAATTATTAATGTTTAATAAAAGTCCATACCATGTAGCTAGGCTTATACAGTAAAGCAAATCTCAAACTTTAATCTTCTCTCACAATACCTCGCCGGGCGAAGATGGAAAAGAAGAGGACTGCCGATTATGATAGTTAAGCACGGTATTAATAAGACTTGCAGATTTTCAAAACCAGTCTAAAACATGGATAATAAATAGTCATATTGTAAACTAAATATTTCTTAAAAGATCAATACATAATTTTATAGTCACTTAGGTAAGCAGCGTTTTCAACGAATACCTTATTGTAAAAAAAACAAACACAATTTTCTTTTTTGGAACATCTTTGATTATGAAACAAAGTTTTTAGAGCATTTAAATATTTAAATGTGTTAGATAGATGATAGTATACATTTCAATATAAAGAATGAAATTTCATTGAAATGAATGGTCATTTTTTACAGGTGCATATTATATCGTGCAGTATTTATTTCGCTATTTATTCAATATTTATGGTTCTAAAAAATAATTAAAAATAATTATTGTTGTTAAATATAATTAACCTTGAATTAAGAAAACTGCAGCTATAGTAAGTTTTAATGAAATTATTTAATAAAGAATAAAAAAGGAGCATATATCATCACAATTTAAAAAATAACATTTTAATATTTATCACCAGACCAAGACCAAGTAACCCTATTATTAAATATCTCGAGTCAGAACAATGGGACTTGTGAATGTGTTGTGCAGCATGAGTCAAAATGTCTTCAAAATAGAACTACAGTTCAGTTTATATGTAAGCTTATCTTTACAGAAGTATTTGTCGAATGAATTTTATAACGGTTATTTATTAAAGAATATTATTAAGTTAATTAATAATTACACTGACATTGGATATCTTCTAGAAATAATGAATCGAATTCTTCAAATTTTCAGCGGTATTTGTTATACAAGAGATGGAGTTAGTACTAACGCAACATGATCAATGAACATGTTTACAACACTTCTACTTTAACGTATTTATTAGATCTTTTATATAAAAACGCCATGCTGATTTTTAACTCCCGCAGCCTTGAGGCTACCAAATAATTGTTTTAAATTGTCAAAGGAAGAAAAATTCTAAAGATAAGGTATCGAAAGAGAAATGATATTGTCTGAATATGAAATGCGGCCAAATCACGTGACGCCCCTGGTTTCATCTACTTGATTTAACCTTGGTGTTAGTCGATGCGTGGTTGGTTGCGAACTGCTTAAAGTAGGCAAGCTTACTCTCCAAAATAATTTCCCAGATCTTGTGAGGGGAAAACCACACTTTCATCTCAGTAACTATTTATTGATACATAACATCACTGTATTTATTCGTAAACGTATTACTTTATCTTTACATTTCACAGTTATCGCACCTATCATTAAAAATCCTTTGACTACTGGTGCTATTGCTGGCATTGTAACCGCGGGAATTGTTGTGATTGCATCCATTGTTTTAATTTTGTTACTAGTCAGACGACATAATGGTAAGTAAACAAAAGGGTGGTAGTTTAATATATCTTTCAGCTTAGTATTGAGTAAATGTATGCTTTTAGATAAGACCGATTTGAGAGTCGGTTCTTTATCTAGCGTTAAATTGTAAACAATGTTAAAACCTACAGTTTTAAGATCACACTACGATTATGTTAATATGAATATGTGCACGATTTTTTAAAATTAGTCCATACACAATATTAAATTGTAATTTTTAAAATAATTCAGCCTCTAATGTCACAGTTTATTATGAAATGTCAATTGTATCATAAATACACAAAGATCAAATGCATCTCAATAATTCATTCAGTGGATACAATTTTGCATGATTACATTTGTTATTGATTTTTTTTTTATCCAGTAGAGATCCATAAGTTTAATTGCATGTGTCGAATGATCACCGAATGAAATAAGTTCTAACAAACATTAATAACACATCCTATCAACTGCCTCCACCATGCCCCCCCCCCAGCTATGCCCCCCAAAAATATTGTTCAATTTGTCTCCGGAGTTAGCTCGTCAATTTATTTTTTACAAATAAAGACAGCAGAAAAGTGCATTTTGTTGATCATTAAAAAATTATTGATTCAGCCTTTTTTAAGGAAAGTCTAATAAAAAGAAGAACGAAAAGTATGTATTTTTTATTGTTTAAAAAAAAAAATTCTACAGACCAATGCAAGTTTTCAGATGTAGCTTGCGCATGTAACATTGTACAATAGTACTTACTTTAATGTGCCCCCTCATATCCTAATTAATGCCTTTAAAAATTACTGATACATAACGCAATGCATTTACTAAGCTACATATTCATCGCTTACACGCTCTATAAATGCAATATAAATACATATTACAAAACATGAATTTAAAACTGCAGCATTAACTGTTTGTGGTTGTATAACATGTCCATTGTACTACAACTAGCATTGTTATCTATTGTTATCATTGTATTACAACTAGCATTTATATATATTGTTATCATTGTATTACAACTGGCATTGGTTGTTATCATTGTATTCCAACTGGCATTGTTATCTATTGTTATCATTGTAAAACAACTAGCATTGTTTACTATTGTTATCATTGTATACAAGAAGCATTGTTATCTATTTTTATCATTGTATTACAACCAGCTTTAGAAATGTTGACATCATTGTCACACTAATTCCGACCTTTATTATTGATTTCTCGATTTAAGTGATTCTTTTTTTATTGTGTTTGTCAATATATACATATCAATCATTACTCGATAACCTATATGTGGTTTATTAAATTCTAAACCCTATCTAACAAATGTAATTATCAAAATCAGCCGAGTAAAACAAGGTTTCGATCTTGAACCAAAGGTCGTCTCCGTTTTCATCTCAATGCTTCCCCAGTTTGCCTGCAGGCTCTGTGAAGATTTGTGCAAGTCCATATATGATAAAGATTTTAGGTTTTTATTATCGATCTCGTTCGTGCGAGACCAACATAAAAAAGGGACTAATTCGTGAATTGTTGTTAAATGGCGATGTCGCATTGACATAGCATGTAGGAGAAGGCCTGCAGTGGAACAATAATCTGCGCCTCTTGCACGCATGTTAAGAGTTTTGGCTGACTATTAGTCCCACATAACGCATGTCGTAACGCAAGAAATACAGTACGAAAAATAAATATTGATGGCCATAACCAGTCAGTAGCTGAGAGTTTAACTAACACTAGGTCCAATATTTATATCTTGTTCTCATTTGATGAAGAAATGAATAACAGGATCGAAAAAAATATCAGCATATGGGGCTAAAGGGACTAACCGTGTGCAGGATATTTCTAATTTGACCCCCCCCCCCCCCAAAAAAAAAGCATGTATCAGGTGGTCCCTTTAATGGATATGAAGTGTGGACCACCTTTGCGAGTCAAGAGAGGTAACTCAACAGCTTCCACGAATGAAGTCTGACACTTATTTTGCAAATTCTATTATATGAAAAACTGAGCTTTTGTAACATTTATTTGTTCTTAGTTGAGGCATCTACTTTAGTTACGCCATGTAAAAAGAATGGATAAAGGCCTCATTTAAAGAATCTGTTTTATTGTAAGTTTGCAGAGGAAAGATTTTTTTGTCGGCCGAGACTGCAATTTAAGGATGATTGTAAAAGGAAATTTAGGGAAGGCGATCACTCATTTTTTAAATATTTCTATTGTGTCACTAATAACAGTTACTGATTGAGGACAATATTGTAAGTGTTAGCCAACCAGGGAGAGAACTAGGAAAACAAAGGCAATGCAACGAAAACAAGACTGAAAGCATTACAGAAGGTGACATTTAACTAGCAGTTTAGATTCACCTGTGAGAAGTGCAGGTGAGACGGTCATTCCAGTAACCGCCTCAGAGCCATTTGTTGAAATGTCAATAGCTAGAACTTCGTCTTGCGATGATGGAAAGATGCCATAAATATTATTACTAACCAACATGAAATTCACGCTCGGCTGATACTATGCGTATAAGTGCAGATTTATGTCTCTTTTGTTTGATTGATTTTTTGTTATATTTAGGGCATAGGAAAGAGACTATTTGATTCCTCTTTAGGCACTTTGTTCAAAAACTTTCCAGCTTCTAATTCGATGGTATTACTGTCGCGAACAAGTTCATCCTTACTTATTAATCATGAAAATATTTTTTAATCAAGATTTTAAGTTCATTGTTGTTTCCTTATTTATTTGTAACTGTCATCATTCTAAAAGTCTGATATTAATTGATTCAATGA